TAATTTTATTATATGTTGATTTTAAAACATCATAAATTATTGTGTTTTAACTCACGATCTGGAGAGAAGAATCACCAGAGAGCGTCAGGATTATAATGTGGAAGTAACTGCTCTTCCCTTAAAAAAGAGATAGAACTCCTGGAGGTTAACACAGAGAACTGAATTAGTTGAAAGTCATTTAATACAGACTGGTGTTAGTAGAACCAATGAGGGTTTTGCACCGACACTGTTCTCTGTGAATTATCTGATATGGTTATCTAAGCTTTACAGTTGTATTTTTGTAAATCAATTTGCATTTTATATGCATTTATATACAAGCTATTGCCTAATTTCATATTGCATGGTCCTAATTGTACTGTGGCACTTCTGAAACTAAGAAAGACTTATATCTGCTTTTTAATCATTTGTTTCACTGGTTCCTACATTGACAGGAAGGGAGGGGAGGAGAAAGAAAGAAAGACCAGTGGAGTTTTGCAAGGAATGGCAATACCTCCTCTTCTTTACTCTTCTTCATCTGAGCAACTGTTTACTGAGCGTTCTCTTGTGGGTTTGGAATGCCACAATGTATAACCATAATTTCACAGGGCATCTCATCTCTAACAATATGATGTGTTTGCCTTTTGTGATTAATTTGTTTAGAACTTGAAGGCTCTTCTGTTGCCTAACATATTTATGTGCTATATTGTGTGTGTCATCCAGTCGTCACCCAAGTTCATGGCAAACCCTATGAATTCAATGACTTCCTGTTCCTTTGTGGACGATTCATGGTTTTGTTAAGAATGTTCAAGATGGGAAAGCCCCTGAAAACAATTGAATCCCCTCTGATATCTAATCACCAAGAAAGGGGCAGGATCTGAATCAAAAAGCCAAAAATCTATATGATCCCAGGATGTTGTTCACAAGTTCCATGCAAGGCATTTTTGCTATCAGGAAGAAAACCTTTCAGCTAAAGAAAGGTTCTGATAGTTGTAGGTTTTTCGGGCTGTTTGTCCGTGTTCTGGAGGTTTTTCTTCCTAACATTTCACCAGTCTCTGTGGCTGGCATCTTCAGAAGACAGGAGTTAGAACACTGTCTCTGTTCTGAAGTGTTCTGATTGATTTGTGAGTAGCTAACACACCCATCAATCACAGTGACAGATCATCTCCCCCTTATCACAACCATACACCCATAACAAAAAAAAACCACCCTGATCACCATAATCACCCAATCTCCTGAAGAGGACAAAAAGTTGCTGCCATAGCTACAAATACTCAACTATACCACATTAGAACACAGTTCTAACTCCTGTCCTCTGAAGATGCCGGCCACAGAAACTGGTAAAACGTTAGGTAGAAAAACCTCCAGAACATGGCCAAAGAGCCCGAAAATCCTACAACAACCATCAGATACCAGCCATGAAATCCTTTAAGAATACAAAGAAAGGTTCTGTTCTGTTTGTTTTCTGGAGCAAATAAAAAAGTTTTTATTTGCTTCCATTGCTTCCCCTCAAAATTGCTTTTGGCGACCAAATACTTGGCGTCCCCTCATTGCCCTCTTTATACCGCTTTTCAGTTTTTCAGGAAGCTTTTAGCTTTATAATGCAACTGTTTTGTATATTGATACAAAACAAATCCTTTTGAATGAATATGCCTAAGCAAACTGCTATAAATGTTATGCACTTTTAGGCAAATTTATTGCCTTTAAATTAATTTATTATCTCCTTTGGGCCTATTGAGATACCACGGTCTGGAATCAGACCAGCATAAAAGTTTGAACAAAGCCCTTGGAAAAAAGACAGATTCCACTGAAATCATGTTAAATTACAAAAACATTCAGATGATCTAAACCAGAAGAGCATGCGCCTGTTAAACAGCTGCTTGTTAAATGTTTCTGCTGAGATTGAAAGTATAATGACAGTTGTGGCAGTAAAATCAAATCATGTCAAACTGCAGAATAAATGCATATATGAAAGGTAATGCATTTCTTTAAACACCGGGTGAAGAAAGTGTGTGTCTTTGGATGCTGTTGGACTGTAACTCCCATTAGCCACCATAACAAACAGGGAATTACAGCCTGTTCCTGCAAGAAAATGGCTTCCACCTGATGCCAGTGAGTTGTGCTTTCCTCAAAGGTAAAGAGAAAGATGAGAGTGAGGGACCTTCCAAATCATCCCCACTTCTTGATCTATACACAAATACTGTATACAGCAAGCCACCCAATGCACCCCCTCCTGTCTGTTTTTCCTGGTCCATTGTTGTTTTTCTTCCTCTGCCTTCTTAGTGCTAGTTCCCTTTCCATCCTGGATGGATTGTGTTTTTTGCACTCACTATGCGCGCGCGCACGCACGCACGCACAGACAGACAGACAGACAGACAGACAGACAGACAGAGGTATGCATAACATTGGTGGCCCATGTCAAGCCGGAGTGCTTCCATGGAGATGATTTCATGTGAATGGAAAAAAGTCTGTTGAATTCAGCAACACTTTCCTCTCTGTAGGTGCATTGGACTGCAGCTGGTCTTTCCTTATTACAGAAATCAACAGCACTCTTCCTTCACCGCCGCCCCCCTCCAGTCCATCTTGGGCTGCTTGGAAGGCCAAGAAGAGGGAAATTGGTGTTTGCTAGCCTAAACGCACTTAACAGTTCCCAAGAAAGAGACATCTTTATTGAGAGCCAAGGTCACCTCCTGTTGCTTAATATGGTGATTGACAAGTAGAGTAAAGCCCACTTGGATCGGTGGAATTTATGGAACAGTTGATTGGATAGCTTTGTGCGTTAAGGTGTCTGGCTGCAGAGCCAGAAGTTGGCTGTTCGATTTCCCACTGGGCCTCCTGCGAGAAAAGCCAGCCTGTGTAGCCCTGGGCAAACTGCACAGTCCCAGGATTGCCCCCAGAAGACGGGAAGGGTAGGCCACTTCTGAGTATTCTCTACCTAGAAAACCCTAAGAAGGGTCACCATTAGAAGGTGGGTGGGTTTGTATTTGTATACAAAGCCCGCCGGCAGAGGCGGTCAGTCTGATGAACATCCAACCCCAGAACCCACCAGCCCACTTGTCACGCGGCGCATGGCTGACATCACCTTCTGCACATGAATTGTGGCAGTAGCCTAGGTGCCGCAGCTGGCAAGGGGGCAGGAGGACAAGTTTCCCTGATCAGCTGTGGAGTGGCTGGGGGGGCAGGGAGGCGGGGCTGCGGCACATGGGCTACTGCCACAATTCAGGTGCAGAAGATGACATCGGTCATGCACCCCATGCGCTGCGTGGCAAGTGAGCTGGTGGGTTCTGGAGTTAGATGTTTATCAGGTTGACCACCTGTGTTGGCAGGCGTTGTCTACCAATACAAAGCCCCCATCTCCAGTCACCATACATGATAATGATGTTATATACGTTTCGTTTCGTTTAGTCGTGTCGGACTCTTCGTGACCCCATGGACCAGAGCACGCCAGGCCCTCCTATTTTCCACTGCCTCCTGGAGTTGTGTCAAATTCATGTTGGTCGCTTCACAGACACTGTCCAGCCATCTCATCCTCGGTCGTCCCCTTCTCCTCTTGCCTTCACACTTTCCCAACATCAGGGTCTTTTCCAGGGAGTCTTCCCTTCTCATCAGATGGCCAAAGTACTGGAGCCTCAGCTTCAGGATCCGTCCTTCCAGTGAGCACTCCGGGTTGATTTCCTTTAGAATTGATAGATTTGTTCTCCTTGCAGTCCAGGGAATTCTCAGGATGTTATATACACTTATACACATTTGAACCACAACTGTTTAACTATGCATGAGAGCTTCTTTTCCACAATAGCAGTTGTGAATAATCGGGTCCTGAGGCACCCTTAAGTGGCAGAAAGCAGCAAACACTTGAAATGACTTTTAGTCAAAGTGCCAAAGCAGGACTGCAGTTTAACACTTAAGACAAAAATCATGGCAAATGAAGAACTACACACCTGTAATGTTCATAAAGAAAAAACTGAAATTCCTAGAGATTTTGCATGCCCTGCTGGATCAGGCCAAGAGCCCATCTAGTCCAGCTCCCTGGAACTCACAGGGGCCCCACCAGATGCCTCTGGGAGCACACAAGACAACAAGAGGCCTGTCTCTTGATTCCCTTCCCCTGCATCTGGTATTCTGAGGTACCGTACCTTCCTTTTAAGCCTGGAGATTATACATCCCCTTCATGGCTTGTAACCTGCAATGGACTTTTTCCTCCAGAAATCGGTCCAATCTCCTTTTAGAGGCATCTAGGTCAGATGCCATCCTGTGGCATGGAGTTCCACAGACTAACAACACGCTGGATTGAACTTTGGAAGGACAGCAGTGATGGCATTAGAAAAGCTTATCAGGTGATAAGGATAAGGCCGAGATCATTCACACGCTTGTATTTCCAATCTCTGGGTATGGTTGTGAAAGCTCAACAGTTATTTATTTATTGATTGATTGATTTATACCCCGCCTATCTGGTCATATTGACCACTCTTAGGAAGCGGGGGGGGGCATTTAGATTAGTTTAAAATGTGGTGCTGGAGGAGAGCTTTACAAACACCATGGACTGCCAAAAAGACAAATAAATGGGTCCTAGAGCAATTCAACCTTGAACTATATCTGGAGATAAAAATGATGACATTGAGTCTGTCCTACTTTGGGCACATCCTGAGAACGATAAAGAGTTTTCTGGAGAAGACAATAATGCTGGGAAAAGTTGAAGGCAGCAAGGAAAGAGAAAAACCAAACAGGAGATGGACTGGCTTCCTAACGGAAGCCCCAGGCTTGAGTTTAGATGAGCTGAGAAGGGCAGTTGAGGGCAGGACATTATGGAGATCGCTCAGGCGCCCCATAACAACCACACAGACGCTGAAGGTCGGAGCAGCAGCCATGGAAATTTAAAATAAACTTGCTTATTTTCTTTNNNAAAGAACCAGGAACCGCACCCCCCCCCCCCCCGCTTTCGCCCCTCCCACAGTAAATGCCACTCCCCCGCCAGCAAGGGAAGCCGGCCCACAGCAAGTTGTGTTAGAGTCCCGATCACATGGTGGGAAGCGGAAGACGGTGCAAACACCGGCCTTCCCCCTCATTGGAGGATTCAGACGAAGTTGGGGAGAGAGCGCGAGGAAGGGGGGCGCACGCGCGAATACACATACACACGCGCGCGCGCAGGCAGTTTTTGGGAAGCGATCGGGGTGACTCAGGAGTGGCGGTGGGGATTGCTAGAGCGGCCAGACCGACGGTGAGTGGGGGGGGGGGAGGGTGTGTGTGAAAGGATCCCAGGGATCGTCTTGTGCCTTTCAGGGTCTGCTTTATTTCCTAAAGTTTGCAAAAGGCTAGAAGAAAATGGAACAGAGGCAAAAGTTTAATGGCTGCTTAAAGACCAACAGATTTGCTTCATTATTTTTGTAAGGTGTCGCATAACTTATTTTTGGAATTTTGTGCGTGTGTGTGTGCATGCGCACAAGATATCGTGTGTGCATGCACGCAAGAGGGGTGTGTGTGTATGTGCACAAGGTGCTGTGTGTGCATGCACGCGGGATTCTGGGCGAGGGTAGTTTTCAAGCGGGCCTTTTGGCGAGCAGAGCCCCCCCCCCAAGACGGTGCGGATGGGCCGATCCGAAGAGAAGCGCAGCGCCATCCTAAACCACCGAGGAGTGGCTGCCTGATCGATGAATTAGAAGGGAGGGCGATTGGAAAGCTACAGAACCGGGCAAACTCACCAGGCTGGGTGGGGGGAGCTGCTGGTTGTAGGTGTCGAGAAAATACATCAAATATCTGGTTATGTAACATGCTGCATTTGGGCTGTTACCGTTCTTGTGGGTTTATGTGGCAGAGGCTTGTGGAACTTCCTGCCTCAGGATGCAGACTGCGCAATGGGCCTTCTGTACTACCAGATTTGACTTGGTGGAAGGCATGTTGCTTGTTTTAGTGCCTAAGGAAGCGAAATGTTGTGTTTATTTATTTTAGTTGTTGTGGGTTTTTCGGGCTTCTTGGCCATGCTCTATAGGTGGTTCTTCCTAATGTTTCGCCAGTCTCTGTGGCCGGCATCTTCAGAGGACAGCAAACTCAGAACACGGCCAAGAAGCCCGAAAAACCCACAACAACCATTAGATCCCCGCCGTGCGAATACATTTATTTTATTTATTTAACTTATATGCCACCCACTCTATCCAAAGATCTCTGGGCAGCTTACAACAATTAAAATTTATTTAAAATACAATAAAAGATAAAATGATTAAAATGCAATTAAAATTGCCATCAGGACCCACAGTTGATGTTTTTTCAATTAAAATTAATTTAATTTATTTATTTCATTTATACCCCGCCTATCTAGTCAATTGTGACCACTTTAGCCTTTAAATATTCTCTACCTTTATTATATTTATTTACCCATTCCTTAGTCCATCTTTCTACTGTAGTTGTATATAATTCAATCATGAAATAATCCGATTCTGAAATGTTTTTCATTTTATCTATCGTACTCATTTTATACAACCAATCTTTCAGTCTAATCACTACTGCCAGATAGCTCAGTAGTGTAGTTTGGGAGTTCGATTCCCCACTGTGCCTCCTTGATAGTGCTGGACTCAGAGATCCATAGGGTCCCTTTGCGTTCTGAAGGTATTAAAAAAATTATTAATATATCATAGAATGGGTTGTCAGCAGTTCAAAGAGCATCTGAGCCAGCAGTGTGTGGTGTGGCAAATTCTGAATGGACAAAACATTTCTGTCTTGCACTGAAACAAATGGGTTAAAAGCCAGATGCTTCCTGCCCCTTCACATTAGAGTTATGATTGTTAGAGACCAAAGAAGGCAAAATTTAAAGAAATTTAGCACCAGGGAGCGACCTTTAAATCCATCAGCTTTGATGAGAAAAATAGCTGAAGAATAAGGAAAAAATATAGAAATATTGTGGGCCCATAAAGACTGTGATGTTATAATGTGAGCTTTCCTAGATACATCCACTTCTTCAGGCAGCTCATGTTGAAATATACTGTGGGGCTTCGATTTATGAACGTCCCTATTTATGAAAATTTCGACCTATGAAAAGCTCCAGCCACAAAATTTTGCTTCGACTTGGGAGGCTGCGAAAGCGCTAAATTTGAACTTTCAGTTAAGGGTTGGCCAGCAAAGAGGCTGCTTGTCTGCTACTTAGAGAGTGTGGATACGGAGAGAGTCTTTGTACTGCCTGGTATTGCCTGGTACTGTACGGTACGGACTGTATTTTTTTTTTGCCTTTTTTAAATTTTGGATTTTTAGATTTTTGACTTGCTTTTTTAAAACAGAGAGATTGCCTGTTCTGGGTGAATACTCTGTATTTACTGGACTGTACAGGGTTTTTTTGCAGCTTGGTGGGGGGGGTCATGTTTCTATGCTCTGATGGTTCTTGCAGTGTGGATTTAAAATGTGAAAAGTACAGTAGAAGACTAATATTAAATTAAAATTAAATGTGAAAATTAGACTGTACAGTAATTTTAAAATGTAAAATTTACTTACAGTATTTATTTTTGCATTCTGTGGCTTAATCTAGGGCACTGGTTCTTAACCTTGGGTTACTCAGGAGTTTTGGACTGCAACTCCCAGAAGCCTTCACCACCAGCTGTCCTGACTGGGGTTTCTGGGAGTTGCAGTTCAAAAGCATCCGAGTAACAAAGGTTAAGAACCACTGATCTAGGGTTTGTGTACTGTGACCTCTCTAGTTTTAAAATGTGTGTGTTTAAAATGTGGCTCTAAGGTCTGTCTCTTTTAAAATCAGAAAATATTCTGTGAGGGCCTGTGGTGCTTGTTGATGCAGGCAGGCAGGCTTTTAAAATGGAGTTTACTGTAGACTCAAGTCTCTCCCCCCCCCAATTGTCTTTTCTCTCTTTTTGTGCTTAATTTTTTCTGGGGGATCTGTGTGCCCCAGTGATTATCTTCTTTCTTTCTTCCCTCTTTTCCCCATTGTTCCCTCCTTCCCTGCCCTTTTTTAACCTAAAAGGTACTTGGCCTTGTTTTAAAAGGTGCTTCCTTTTAAAGGTGTTTTGTTTAAAAGGTGTTCTCTCCCTCCCTTCTTTCCCGCCTTTTTTTAACCTAAAAGTTGCTTGTTTGTTTGTTTGTTCAATCGTTTAGTCGTGTCGGACTCTTCGTGACCCCATGGACGAGAGCACGCCAGGCCCTCCTATATTCCACCGCCTCCCGGAGTTGTGTCAAATTCATGTTGGTTGCTTCGATGACACTGTCCAACCATCTCATCCTCGGTCGTCCCCTTCTCCTCTTGCCTTCACACTTTCCCAACATCAAAGTCTTTTCCAAGGAGTCTTCTCTTCTCATGAGATGGCCAAAGTACTGGAGCCTCAGCTTCAGGATCTGTCCTTCCAATGAGCACTCGGGGTTGATTTCCTTTAGAATTGATAGGTTTGTTCTCTTTGCAGTCCAGGGGATTCTCAAGAGTCTCCTCCAGCACCACAAAAGTTGCTTGGCTTGGTTTAAAAGTGCTTGTTTTTAAATGTGTTCTGTTTAGAAGGTGTTCCCTCCCCATCCTTTCCTGCCCTTTTTTAAACCTAAGTAATCTTAAGTTAAAAGAAGAAAAATTCTCCCTCCAGTGATAGTGTACAAATTAACTGGCTTTGCATTAGTTCCTATGGGAACTAATAATGCTTTACGGCACCTCGACATAAGAACCCAAAACAGCTAGAACGGATTAATTGGTTTTCAGTACATTCCTATGGGAAATTTTGCTTCAACTTATGAAAATTTCGAGGTACAGCTACCGTTCCAATACGGATTAATTTCGTAAGTCAAGGCACCACTGTATACAGAAAAACAACTGAAATGAAAAACAAAAAAAATTGCTTTTGTGGCACCTCAAGGTATTGCTGTACAGTGTATAGCAATAACTTGAGGTGCCACAAAAGCAATATTTTTTGCTTTTCATTTCAGTTGTTTTTCTGTTTCAAAAATTCTGGTCTGGATATGCTTGTATGGACTAACACAGCTACATGTTTGAAAACATAAACAAATGTTTTTTTGCCTGCTCTCTCAGTGATTAATCTTTCCCCAAGCCTGCAGACTGAGGGAAATAATCCCCATTTAAGATGGGTCCTGTGTAGAACATAACGGTAATGTCTGGAATCTTTCTCTCTGCTTTCCCTCAATGTTTGGGGCACAACTGAGTTTTGGGGAGCCCCACAGGGCTTTGTAACATTAAGTGAAAGCGTTGTTTGGTTGACGGCTAAGAAGAGTAAAATGCAACTCATATTTGTTCTGGGGAGAAAAAACTAGTATTTCTGGGGATTCCAGTTCTGTGCCTTGCTGCAGACACATGACATCACAGTGTCCTTTTTAATTGCTATTTCTTGCATTTTTCTCCTAATCAGAAGATTTGGATACGATGGAACAAGAAAAGGAACAGCAGCGCCTCGGTACCCAGGAATTACAGCATGCGGGGGGAACTTCCCCTTGTAGCCATTCAGGTGAGAGATAGAATCACAGATGATTTTGGTTAGGGATAATAATCACAATCCTGTGCCATCAATTCATTTCTGACTTGTGGCGACGCTTTTCACAGTTTTTCAAATAGAGAAAACACAGATGTGATTTACCTTCTCCTTCCTCTAAGGGAGAGCCTTGGGACTGTCCAGTTTGCCCAGGGCCATACAGGCTGGCTGGACTCATGGGGCACAGTGGGGAATTGGACCTAACTCACTGAGCTATCCAGCCAACCGGCATATAGATAAGCAGGCAACAAAATGTTGCAGTGTAGCCTGTATGGGGATCCTATTTCCTCACCCTCCCTTGATTTCCATGTGCCTCATAAAACAGTTAGCATCCATTAGCAAGCTTAGTCCTACCCCAGATGTTTATGGGTTTGCCCCCCCCAACACTTCTATCTCTCTCCTAAATTTTAACAGTACAGTGTGCCTCGCTTAATGATGATAATCCATTCCAGGAAAATTGCCATTAAGCGAAAACATTGTAAAGCTGAAATAAAAACCCAATTGAAATGCATTGAAACCCATTCAATGTGTTCCAGTGGGGTAAAAACTCACCATCCAGTGAAGATCCTCCATACTGCGGCCATTTTCGCTGCCTGTATAGCAAGGAATCCATCTCTAATCACAGCGGGGAGCCATTTTAATCACCTGGCGGCCATTTGGAAACTGCCATTCAGCTGTTCAAAAAACGTCGTTTTGCGAAGAATCGGTTCCTGAAGCAGGGAACCGATCATCGCAAAGCGAATTTCCCCCATTCAGGCCATCATTTTTGCGATTGCAATTGCGATCGCAGAAAGATTTCCGTTAAGCGGTTTCATCGTAATGCGGGGCAGTCGTAAAGCGAGGCACCACTGTACTTCTGTACACCTCTGAGTTCCCTGCCCCTACCTTGCTACAGTGTGTGGATGGTGTGCGTGTGTGATTTTGGCTACAAAAACAATGATCCTGAACACCGAGACCGAGGGGATGAGAGATGTTTTATTCATGATGTGTTGCACACTTCTCTTATCACCTATCATGATTTGTGCAGAACATCCAATGCATATTTGGTCCGATCAAAACTAACCATTAAAATCAATATGTTTTTGTCGTGGATGAATATGGTCTTTGTCATACAATGATCGCAGGGAGGGATTATGGATTAAAAAACTTGATTTAAGAATCCAGTACTTTTTTTTTTCATACTGAGGTTTTACTGGGTATATGGTGGAGTGGGAAGCTAGAGTAGCAGTTTTGTGAAGGAATGCTACCATGTTTTCCTGAAAATTAGACAGGGTCTTATATTTTTTTGCTCCAAAAACACATTAGGGCTTATTTTTTCATGTACAATAATCTACATTTATTCAAATACAGTCATGTCTTCTTCTGGTTGCTGCACAAGGGTGGAGGGCAGGGTTTCACTTAACTGTGGCTTGTTTTGGGGGTAGGACTTGGAGAACAGTATATGTACTGTGGGCTGGGGGAAGGATTTCCGTGTATAACAGTTCTGCTAGATGAGTGACAAAACTGAAAACCCAGCTCATTTCTCAGAAATATACAGTGGTGCCTCACTTAATGACTATAATCCGTACCAGGAAAATCGCTGTTAAGCGAAAACGTTCTAAAGCGAAATTAAAAAATTGAAACTCATTGAAAACCCGGCGATCAGCTGTTTTGATCGTTGTAATGCGAAGAAGCAGGGAACCAATCTTCGCAAAGCGAAAAAGCCCTATATAAAACATTGTTTTATGATAGTCGTGAAGCAGATTTGTCATAATGCAGGATAATCGTTAAGTGGGGCATGACTCTAACTACTGGGCAGTGTCTGCGATTTGACAGATAGCCAGTATATGGTATAGTAGGAGTACCGTGTTCCCCTGAAAATATATTTTCTTATATTAATTTTTGCTCTGAAAATCACATTAGGGCTTATTTTCAGGGGTTGTTTTATTTTTTTCATGTACAGCAATCTACATTGATTCAAATACAGTCCTGTCATCATCTTCTGGTAGCTGCACAAGTGTGGAGGGTCAGGTTTCACTTAACTGGGGCTTATGTTTGGGGTAGGGCTTATATTACGAGCATCTTGAAAAATCATACCAGGGCTAATTTTCAGGTTAGGTCTTATTTTGGGGGAAACAGGGTAGTGCTGGACTGAGATACAGGAGACATTGGTTCTGATATCCGCCATGAAACTCACTGGGACATCTTGGTCTAGTCACAGAGACTTTTAGCTTGAACTACCTCACAGGGTTGTTATGAGGGTAAAGCCAGGGCTGTGGGAGAGCTATGTATATCACGTTGAGCTCACTGAAGGAAAGTGGGGTATAAATACAATGAATAAATAGTTTTGAAGAGATCTTAGTTGATGTTCCTCAATTCATATATCCCTTGCATATGTCTTTTTCTTAGGTTATCCTGATGTGACAATGGCGGATGAGGAAGATGAGGATGAAAAAACAGACATATCAGATTATGAGGAATCTAATGGCAACATAACTTTTCCAGCTGCTGTTTCAGGTATGGGATGGGCTTAGCTAACTCAGATGGACAGAGCATGAATTTAGAATGTACTGCCAACCCTGTTTACACGCACACGCACACAGAGAGGATTCAGGCAGTGGATGACTTGAAATGACATCTTACAACTCAACTCTTGCAAATAATGGTTCACATGACCATTCTGTTTCTGACGATTAATCCACAAGACAATTGTTTTTTGTGATCGCTGTGGCGCTTCGCAAGACGATGTTTTCTATGGACGATTTTCGCAAGATGACGATTTTCCCCATTGGAACTCATTAAATAGATTTCAATGCATTCCAGTGGGGAACTGCGTTTCGCAGGACGATGTTTTCACAAGACGTTTTTCGTGGAACAAATTAACATCGTCTTGCGAGGTAACACTGTATTCTTCTTGTGGGGCAAAGTGTGAGGAAGTTGATTGTGGCTTAATTAAAATAAACGTCCTCTAATTATGCAAAACGGTTCCATCAGGAACCTACAAAGCTGATTGAACTACAAGTCTCCCTCAGGAGATCAGCCTTTATTTATCTCAACTGACACTTACTGTCTCGGTATATTCACTCAGAGACTCTGGTAATGAGAAGGAATATTCTGTTTCCCTGAAAATGAGACATACCTGAAAATAAGCCCTAGCATGATTTTTCAGGATGCTGGTAATATAAGCCCTACCCTGAAAATAAGCCCAGGTAAGTGAAACCCGACCCTCCACCACCATGCAACAACCAGAAGAAGATGACAGGACTGCATTCCATAAATGTAGATTCTGTACATGAAAAAAATTACCTGAAAATAAGCCCTCATGCATTTTTTGGAGCAAACATTAATATAAGACCCTGTCTTATTTTACAGGAAACATGGTGAAATGTTTTCATTTATTTACAGTTCCTCCTGGATAAAATCAAATATTGTGCAAATATGTAAACTTGTTACACCACTGAGCTTAACTTGTTACTGACTGACTTGGTGACGCTGCTAACATAACACTTCCCTTTGTCTTCAGACTCCATTGCTATCTGTGACAGAACCCTGACTAACATTTCTGGCTGGGGAAAAAGGAGGGAAAAAGAATCTAAGATGAGAGAGGGAACTATTGGCTGCAACTAAGTCAACCGACATTTAACCCCAGTCCAGAAAAGTCCCTCACAGTCAAAACAGCTTAAAGCCATCATATGTAGGTTGCACTACATCATACACTTCCACAGCTGGAAATGGAGCGAGATTAAAAACTGGACATTCTGTGAAGATGGTTATGGAAGGAAGCTTTCGGGTGAAAGATGTTGCCAGAAAAACATTTTGACAAGGAAATCCCTTGGCCTAAAGGGTTATGATCTCTCCCTCACTGGATGCCTCTGAGCAGATATTATAAAAAAGCTATCAGTCATGGATTCTGTGATTCTAGCTGTCCACTGTCCAGCTAGGGGTTGAACTAGAGAAGGTGTAGGCAATGTGGAAGAGTTCAGTAAGAGGCTCGGCCCTCCAAAAACCAGAAATATCTCCTTGAAGATCTCAGGTGAGGAAGAGCTCACAAACAGGTTTCCTTTTGAAACTGTTGTTGTTGTCAGCATTTTCTCTCTAATTGGTTTTAATAGCCATTTCTAGCCACATCTGGCCCAATACATCCTGTTGTGCATTATTTACGTCATAAAGCGAAAATAAAAAAGCCATTGAAATGCATTAAAACCTTGTTAATGTGTTCCAGTCGGCTAAGAACTCACCATCCAGCAAAGATCCTCCATGGGGGCGGCCATTTTGGGGTGCCTGTGCAGCGAAAAATGGCTCCTAAACACAGCAGGGAGCCATTTTTAAAACCCACCGATCAGCTGTTTTGATCATCGGGAAGCGAAAAGCGGTTCCCAAAACAGGGAACCGATCATCGCATAGCGAAATCCCCCCATTCAAAGCATTGTTTTTGCGATCACAAAAACCTTGTCATAATGCGGATTCATCATTAAACGGAGTGCCCGTATTGTGAGGAACCACTGTACAGCCCTCACCCCTAATAGGAAAGAGTTTGTTTATTTATTAAATGTAAATATTTATTTAATTTGTATACCGCCTGTCTGGCTACCAATGCCTCTCGGGCGGTTCACAACACAAAATAGAACAATAAATTAAAATCAAGTGACATCAAAGTAATAGAAAAGAATAAACTTACACTACACATGATAAACTAGAAACATTACAAACTTAGAATACAGGACAAAAAATAGCATTCAATAAGAGCAATCAGAGAGACAAGAGGAGAGACAAGAGGGCCTTCTTAAATGAACAATGCAAAAAAATAGAGGAAAATA